GGGAGAACGGAGATGACCAGGGCGAAGAGGACTGGAAGAGCCACGTGCAAGTCCGCCGTGCCGGGTGCCATGGTAACCACCACTCAGTGCACGCCAGCCACTCCTTGCAACCACGTGCATAACCCAGCCACGACTCTTGCAATGTCCGTCGCTGGTGTGTGCATGGCGGGGGTTACGCACGAGTAGCTACGTAGTGTTCATTGTTGCGTGTCTCGGCGCGTACTACACAATGCCACGGCGGTTTGTTGCTGGTCCACACCAGTGCCAGCGTCGGGAAGGTGTGTCTGGCGCTCTCCTCCGGGTGGCTGGCGCTGCGACGTTCTCTCCGGGGCGCTCCTGCCTCCGTGGGGCCTGGATACCTTCGCTTATCTCTTGTCGAGGTGGAGATCGATGCTTGAGAAAGTCTCAGTGTCTCGCGGATTGTCCGGTACTCTCTTTTTTTTTTGCTCTTTTGCAAGAGGATCTGCTCGCTCCCGATCAAAGCAGAGCACTCATGGAAAGACTTAACGATTATATATTTTTTTACCTTCACACTGCGCGTATCTCACACGTGTTCCTCCATCACCGCAAAGAAATACACTTCACTATCCCACACGCGTTAAAAGCACACCATGATCTCAGTCACAACTTAAGACTGGCGACATACCACTCGATCGAACAGTTTCACTCGATACGTCTAAATTTTTCAGATCACCACGTCGCTGAGCGGGCGATACGTCGTCGGGAGCTCGAGCTGTAGCTGTGGAGGCAACGTATCATCTTGGCACACACTCGACCCCTCTCCCTGCAGCTGGAGGAACAGGAGTTGCGAAAAAAAAAAAGGAATAAATAGCGTTGCTTCAGCTTGACTGCAGGAAGCCCGTCTCGCTCTCGCCGCCGCGCTCTCACGTACTCTATTACCGAAACTGCAAGATATTCCGAGTGTCTTACACGAGGCCTGCAAGACACGCCAGCCGTTTTACGTGTGTGTGTGTCAGGGGGAAGCTCCGACGCAGCGAGAGGCGCCGTGTCTTTCACAGATCGACTAATGGAGGCGGTGTCCGTGCGGTGTTGTGGTGTTGTAAGTGGTAATGCGACGGGCGTGTGGCGGTGGGGTGACGGTGGTGTGGCGGCAGCGTTTGATGACGGGAGAATGGTGTACCCCTTGTAGGTTACCCCAGGTGAGGGCCGAGCTGCCGCTGCCGCTGCTGCTGCGTGCGCTCGCCGTGAGTCCTCTCGGGCGCACGCCAGCGCTTCGCCCTCGCTGCCTCTCGGCTTCCACCGCATCTGTTCGTCGTGTTGCATGATCCACAGTTTAATCAGCCTGCAAATGAGCTATTCAGAAGGGTGGCATCCATTTCGAGCGATCTGCTGGGCCAGAAATACGCTCGTCGACACTTCTTCCGTGACTCCAGGTGGGCATAACAGAGGGCGCTGATTGGCTGCCGTGGTTCCGCTGGACGGATCAATGGGCCAATCAGCGCGAAGGGGCAGCCCCACGAGCTCCACGCCCAGCGTTACCAAGGCTCTATGGGGAAGAATTCTGTGGGTAGAAGCGTAATTTTCTCGTTCCAGCTCTGTTGTCGCTCGGTGGACCTCCTCTACATTCAGATTTATTTCCTCTAGAAATTTGTAAGACAGGTAGAGGCATTATTTCCGAAAGATAAATGGAAATAAACTGGGTAAATGAAAGATACAAGAAGTAATCAAGAGCCGCCCACGTGCTGTAGCAACGCTGCAACACGCCTACCGCCGCCTACGACCAACACACTACCTTTGCCTTTCCTCAGCGCTCCACTTCCCCTCAAAAAAAAAAAAAAAAAAAAGACGAACAGCTCCCGTCATATATTCCCCCTCCATCTAACCCACTTCATCCCACCCATTCCGAAAGAGAGAAAGAGAAAGAAGAAGAAAAAGAAAGAAAGAAAAAAAAATAAGAAGACGGAAACCAAACGACTAAACAGCGCGCCATAACGACCCTTAACCCCCCCCCCCTCCCCTCCCCTCCCTCCCCTCCCCCTTTCACAAGCCGGAAAAAAAGAGCCAAGAAAGCGAAGATATTTTCCCGCGCAAATGTCGTTCTCTTTGTTGGGGGTCGTTCAGTCGCTCCGCCCACCCAAGAGGTCGGCGTAACCATTGCCTTTAACAACGGGTCATTCAGCCACCGAGGCGCATAGATTATAGATGATAGATAATTACTTGGGGTGTGATAGATTGTGGTCGATTCTTTAGACCCGGAGGAGGGAATGCCAAGACAAATTTGCAGGAGTACCCTTCAGTAATGGGTTATTTTCTCTTAACAGGGGGTAGACCTCCCTGTTGCTCGGTTTCCAGTTAGTTACATTAAAAGCCGAAGATATATCCTCGAATAGGATTTTTATTGTAATTTTGTATGTTTAATTCCACGTGGATGTCATTTCGAGTAATTAATGTTTGCAAACTAAATTGATCATTCATTCATCATTGTTATAATAACTGCAGCTATTATTACTATTATTGTTGCTATTATGATTAGTAATAATAATCTTAATCTAAGATGATAATGATATTATCAATAATTTTTTTCATCATTATTATCATCATATTATCATCATTATTCATCATTATATCATCAGTCTTATCATCATTAGTAATAGTAATAGTAGTATCATTGTTATCTTTGTTGTGGTTAGTTTCGTTTTAATTAATTGTTGTTGTTATCAATCATCAAGAATCGAAACCTCAGCAGAATATTTTTCTACACGAAATTTGTGAACAGACGAATGAAGATAATTTCAAGATGTTGATAATATTACAACGACATGAACAACACACAAAAAATATATATATCAATTGTTCAGGGGGAACAACGTGAACATACGGTGAAAGGACAATAACTTTTTGTCTGATTGTTCATTGTTTATGTAAAAATTGCAAATAGTTGGTTGACAGTTCTCTAACATTTCCTAGTTCATAAAGTTCGAGTGGCGTTGCAAGCATGGATATACTTTTGCGATATATATAAATATACAATACGTACATACATGCATACATACAAGTATATACATACATATATGTATGTAATTATATGTATATATGTATGCATGTAGTATGTATATATATGTATATGTATGTATGTATATATATGTCTATATGTATGTATTATATATGTATATATATATATATATATATATATATATATATATTATATATATATATAGTACATATTAATGCACATATATATGTATATACATATAATGCATATATTACATATATAATATATATAATATATATATATATATATATATATATATATATATATATATATATATATATATATATATATATTATATATATATACATACTCGTAATTGCAAGAAGTCAGTACTTTGCTTTTTTGGAAGACGCACATAAAAACAAACAGATATAAATAGTCGTACATATCCAAAGGACATTCAATTAAAGTGATTTACGAAATAAATAGAAAAAATAATAAAAGCTTCCAACAAAACAGACAATGATAAATGAGCGTCGGGTGTTTACCGGCAAGCTATGTTGACAAGGTAAGTGCTCGGGGTTGGGGAGGGAAGGAGAGGGGGAGAGGAAGGAGGAGGAGGGAGGAGGGGAGAGGCAAGGAGAGAGGGAGGGGAGGGGGAGGGAAGAGGGAGGGAGGGAGAGGAGAGAGGGGAGAGGAGGGAGGGGAGAGGGAGGGGGGAAGGGGAAGGGGAGAGGGAGCGGGGAGAGGGGAGGAGGAGAGGGGAGGAAGAGGAGAGGGAGAGGAGCGGTGAGGAGGGGGAGAGAGGGAGAGGGAAGGAGGAGAGGGATAGTGAGGTAGGGAGGTAGGGAAGGAGGAAGGGGGGAGGGGGTAAGTGCTGGAGAGGAAGGGGAGGGGAACACAGAAGGGGGAGGACAGGTAGAATTATTAAAATGAGTTGATGGATATCATGTTTGCATGTCTTTCTCTCGCTGATGGACAGTTTTTGAAATATATATTTACATTTTTTTATGAACATGTGTATATGAAAATATTTTTTTTACGGAAGCGTTCACATCGGAATACAAATATGATTTTTTTTGAGAGATTCATGTTACTAATTTCTACTTTACCTAATACTAAGACTATTATACCCTATCCTCATTATTTGGGTAATGATATCTACAAATATGCTTGCAAGTAGCGCCCAATTTCACCTTAACAACAGGTATTTAACATTTCTGCACCATTCACAACATGTACTTTTTCCCGTCGAAGACGAAACTCAACAAAAAAAAAAAAAAAAAAAAAAAAAAAGTGGTAAAAAT